GTTGGCGAGATTGACCAAGGCGTGTACAAATGGACCTAAATGTAGCGTCCTAATACAAGTAGAAGTATCTGAAGCCTTAAAAGTTCGAACGGGCTTACGGCAGAGAGATGGACTATCACCGATGTTGTTCAACTTAGACCTGAAGAAGGTGATAAGAACAACATCTTATATACCAACAACATAATTTCCCAAGGGGGCAAGTGTTCATGACCAGTTGGTGCTGGACTTTTAAACTTATTAGTTGTTTGAGGTGATTTTCAAATATCAAAAAATAACAAGTAATTTATTTATCTTTCATGAGTGCTAAGATATTTTTTAAATACAATATTATACTCAGTAATTCCTAGCCCTTATTTTTCGCGTAGAGGGTAAAAAAATGTGATGTTAAATGAAAAATTTCTTAACATCTACAACTCACGAACGCCATACGGGCAGTAAAATTAAGAGTATAATTATATCGTCTAAATTGGAAATAACAAAAACTCATGAATATCTCTTTTAATCGATGTCTAAGATGGCGCTACAGGGCATTGCAGAAGTTAGAAGTTTAATTTTTCTCATTAAATTATAGCACGACAAAGTATTATTGAATACCAAGTTTTTACATTTATTTAGAAAATGACCTCTCAGCATACGGCAACTACGGTTTATTTATTGTTTCTATTTATGCAATTCATTAACTAAGAGTTTAAATTACATTTGCTTCGTTTTAGAAACTATATTTTGAGCTGAAAATTGATACTTTCAAATTTTATTTCTATATAATAAATCATAATTAAAATAACCGCTCTCAACAGAATAAAACGATTATCACGATGTCTATACAGACATTGAGCACCCTCGGGCAATGACGTCAACTCCCTTCCCTAAAAAAAATTAAATTTATTTCTCAAGCTGTTTTATATTATGTAATATTGGAATTTTATTTCATTCAATATTTCTCTAATGCAATTGCGATATCAATAGACTAAATTAATTCTTTTAATACGCTTTGTACATATATTTTTTAAATTCTTAACAAGTGGTGAGTGCCCCAGGTGATCGGCGACCTTAATGGACGCCCCTTTAAGTTGGCGCCCAGGAGAAATTGCCGGCTGCCATAAGATCGACACTGTATACAGCCAAGAACGAGAAAGAGTAAATGGACGATTTGTTGCAGGATGCGAAGATGTGAAGGAGGATAATACAAATATAAAGAATACAATATTGTTTGGAACCTACTTTATTAAACTTTCTTATTATTTACTAACTTTTTTTAAACGAATTTTTGGAAAATTCTCTGACTTAGGGACGAGTAGGACGAAAGTTCATGACTTTTTCCGGGTTTATCTGTCTGTAAACACCTTCGATCAAACAAAAATCAATAAATTTAAAATTTATACCACAATGAATACAACAAGAAGTTGAAGAGAAGAGAGAATGCAGCTAACCAGGGGTGCACATCACCCAAGGCGTTAAATGCATTCTCTTCTTCGTTCGGTTTACTTTTTACTTTTAGTATTGCTAATTGTAAAGAAAAATAAAACTTCTTCTTTTCCTTTGTTCTTTTCTTTAAGTTCACATAACAATAAAATATACAGGACTCTAACCTCGACAACTTATCTAAGGCATAAGCAGGGAAGGGAGCAAGTGGGAATTTTTTTAAAGAAAAACTTTATTAATATTAAAATTTATAAATATTTTTATATGAAATACAATACATAGATAGAATAACAACTTTTAAAAATTAATTTTCGGCAAACATTTTGTATTATACTGTTTTATTGTCTTTCGAATTATTTATGGTGGGTAATGGTTCTCCCTGCAACTGATAATGTGAATTTCATTCAGAATTCAGAGTTTAAGGAAGTCATAAGTTCCCCAACCACAATCAGTTGTAATTCTGAATGACAACATGAGAAACAGCCGCATCAATCTAACATGAATTAAGGACCATCCTACAGAGTGTAGTAGAGACAATGACAAAGTTATAGTTATATCTGGCGAAACTGGTCAAACTTCGTGTATCAAAAATATAAAGATAATAAAAAAACACATGTCATTGAACCAAAATAAATTAGGTTTGAAATTTTTAATTATTCAGTATCAATTTTTAAAAAAATTATTAACATATCTATATCAACTCATTTGCATTAAAAAAATCAATAAACTGTAAATCCATTGGAATATTTAAACAATTAATTAAATTGTGAAACCTGAAAAATTAATTTAAAAGTAATAACTTTCCTGAAGTTCATTCCTTTATTGCCCAATAATCCATCTGCTAATTCAGTGGGTAAAGTAATGAAGAAAACCAAATTTAATTATATTTAGAAGAATTTTAATCTAAATATATTTTACATATATTTCTCAGTGAAATTAAAGAACATTATAGCTAATCTGTTTAGGCAAACTTCATCATTAACCAATGATAATTACTGAAATATACTACTCAAACAATAATGAATGGTAATAAAAAATAATATTACAACGGTAATATTAAATACAACCATATATTGAAAAATCAAACTACAAAGACAAAATCGAAATTTTATACTTAAATAGAGTATATTTAAAAAAAAAAAAATACAGTTTACAGTTTCACGGTAGTAGTAGAAAAACGTATCAGAGGTGTAAATGTTTAATCTTTTGATTACCTAAATTATCTATTTAACGGAAAATTATTTAGATAGAATCAATCATGATTTTAAGATCTGTTGCAGCAGCTGAATCCTAGTAGGATCAGCATCACACATTTTACTTCACAAAGTATTATAATTTTTTTAATATACCAAATACATACATTTAATGTCAATTCGCATGCTTATCTATAATTATCATCTCAACAAGGTTCATGTATAAAAATGAAAACATACATAAATTTTTTATTTTAATATTTTGTGTCAATTTTTTTTATCCTAAAAACATTTTAAAATAATATTTAGAAAAATATAGCTAAAGAATGACATTCCATAATTTCAATTATAATGTGAGATAAAATACCAACAAAAAACCAAACAGTTAGATAAATAAAACTCTATAACAGCAAAACAAAAAATGTAAAAATAAAATAATAAACCTAAGTGGTCTTGGCAATTCCATTTTAAGGCTTTAATCAGAAATCTATGGAATAAAGCCAACCTTCCTAGGTAAGTTGCCAAAACAGTTTCTAGCCTTTCTCAGCTTAATTTTGTTCAGAAAAAAAATTTTTTTTTTCTTTTTTCTGATTCAATGTATCTATCTAACTTGATGAATTGAATTCTTATTTTAAGATATAAGCTATATTAAGAAAAGTAATAATTCCAAGAAAAATATTTTCATGTTCCCTTTTCTTCATAAGTATAATTCAAAAATAGTCATAATTCTTAAAATTAGTGAAAGGTACAAGATAAAATTATTTCAATACATTAAAAAAAAATTTAATTCTATTTTAATATATTTATGTGATAAACATGAAATAGCTCTGGTGTATCAATAAATGAAAAAAAAAAAATAATACCAGGTTATTATTTCAAATAATTATTTTTTTTTTAAATTATAGGTATTTGCAGCAATATGCTGAATATTTTGAATTATCCAGAATAAAAAATTAATACTTGGTAATTATTTAAAATAATCATTATTTTTCAATTATAGGTGTTAAAAGCAATACACTGAATAATTTTAAGTTTATAGAAAAATATTTATAATACGATTATTTGAATAATATAATTAAAACCAGCTCAATGTCACTGTTCGATTAAAGGATTGCAATTACTCATTACTAAAATCAAAGAATAACAGAAAGAGAAATAATAATAGAAAATAACATTCACATAAAATATCAGATTATTTATTTTAATCATTATTATAACACAAATATTATTTATATAAATTATTATTTATAATCATTATTTTTTTTATTATAAGATGACAATAACAGTACAGTATGTTAGAATAAAATAACACTAACATAAATTAAAAACATAGTAAAGTAAAGAAATGTAACAAAAATGTATATAATATTTAAAATTGTTTAGCTACACATAATGATTTCTCCTCTTTAAGTTTTATGAGGAAAAAAAATCAAGTAATTATAAATGTTTATCTGTACTGAGTACTGAGCAGTCTAATAAATAAATCATGAAATATATGTTACATGTGTTTTTTTGGCAGTTACAGAAAAATTCAAAATTTTCTTTTATGTTTCTCTGTCCAATAAGATTGAAAAGATGAGTAGAATGTCTTTTTTTTTTCAAATTTGGTGATTTCTGTGACTATAATGAATTTTTAACTCATTATATAATGAAATTAAATGGAAGATTAAAGTAAAGAGAAATATTGTAGCTTCTCCTAAAGTAGTTTATGAAACTGATTGAGAGAAGCTGTAGATTACAAATATATAGAATGACAGTTAAATAATTTGAAGTGACATATTCATTTCAAACATTTGACCTCCATTCTTCGGTATACAACATATTAACACTTCCTATACAAACAAAAGACATGACATTCACAATGACAAATGTAAAATGTCCAAATAAAAAAGATTTTACTGCAAAAATTGAATAAATAAGGCCCTTTCGTGTTGTCATGATATGGACATGAATTAAATGAACAGGCACCAACTTATTAATAATTAATTGGTAAATACAACACTATGATACCATGTTCATATTAACATTCAGCCAAATGATAAAATATCATTGCATTTTAAGTAAACTATGTAGACAGAAAAGACAAAACATGTTACAAAGTTAATTAAGTCAAAACATAACTAACTCCTGATTTAAAAACTTTAAAAATGCTTACATCAAAATGAGAATTTTATTTCTTGAAACAAAATAATTAAATGATGACTATACAATGACGCAATAAATCATAAAAAAAATTGTTAAAACGTCATTTTAACTATTACCTAAGGGGCATTTATATGAAAATCTCACTCATATTTGCAAAATAAAATAATTATAATACTAAATTAAATGAACTAAGATATAAAGCTGTTTGAGAGAACTGGAAAAGTTAGAATTTGTACTCACAGAGCGTTGAAGATCGTCATCGTATCACAAAAGCTAAGAAGCAAGGAACAAAAGGATGCAACTAAAGGAAGAATATCCAACCACCTGAACGAACCGCAACTCCTGGACTGGAGTCGTAAACACTGGTGGCCATTATTGAAGGGTCGCGCATGTTCCCCCGCCAAATTCAAATTCTTATCTATATCTGGACCACCCCCACCCCATAGCCTTCTAGATATATTTTAATGTAGGCTATACCTGGCCAATAACTTATTATTTTTAAATAATATCATAAGTAACTAAATTAATTAATTTTAAGAACTGAACTTTTTATGTTCTAAAAAATAATAATTTATTAAGTAGAATTCAGAAAAAAATGGCAGAAAATACTAAAGAAAGACAATATAGATTTCTTTATAATAATAATTATACTTTATTGAATATATAATACAAAATTGAACTATGAAAAGAATATGAAACATTTTACGGCTTGGAAATCCTTCTGCCAAATACTATTATAATATGAGCCTTTCAGTTGATACAAAGATGAACTCCAATTTCTACATTTGTGAGTTAAGTCATTTTAGTGATATTTCTAGTCATTTATCGGAAAATTTATAATATCTGTACAAACAGTGAATAGGTTGATTCCATAGTAGATAACTGCAGTGTTGAAATATAGAACTGTGAATTAACTTTTCTCACTAGAAATATCACTAAAATTAAAAAACAAAATTTTGAAATTGAATTTAGTAATTCTGTCAACCAAAAGGCTCATATAATAGTAGATAGATCCCTGCAATGATATTTGTAATATTATTTACGAAAATCTACAATTTAGTAGATAAATATTATGCTTTTCCATTTTTAGTTATGTAACTAAAATGAGAATATTCATTTTAATTACCAGTCTTTTTTTTTTCTTTCAGTGGGTTTTCACTCGATCTAACTTTTACCCTACTCCTTAAAATAAATTCATATATTATAATTGGTTTTTAAAGTAAAACTTGTTTAGGTGATCTTTGCATTTTTTTTTTTTTTTTTTGTGGGCAGTAAATGAGACTTAAGTCGTCACGCTCAAATATGTAACGGTCATTCGGGTACCATGGATAATTCAGATTTGCGAAAGTCAATATAGATATTTTTTTTAATTATCCATAAAAATAAGAAATTGTGCGTTTCTATTTAATTTTCTGTTGCACTCGACATAATATCGACAAATTAGAGAAGTTATATAAAAAAATAGTTGTTTATATACTTAGCAAATAGATTTTAATCAAAAGTATTTATTACGTATTTTAGATATCATTTTTAGAGTGTGATACACATGCGTTTAATTCCTTAAATATACACAAAATAATTATTAGACATTTTACAGCTGTTTTTTTTTTAATGTATCACTGCGTTAGTTGTAGAGGCGGAAGTTGGACATCCGTAAAGATATTTCCTTTGCTATTATGTATATCATTTGATGAACGGAGTTTGGCCTTAATGTTGATCAAAAATGTGGTACATAACTGAGTAGGATATACCAAAAACAATAAAACGGTCATTTTTGATTCCTTCATCTGTGTTACATGAGCAAGATGAAAGTTAAACAAAAAATGAAAATTAAAGGAAGTTAGTCGACTGTTCTACATATCGTGGGTGATAAATATTCAGGACGCAGTATTTTTTTATTTAAAAAAATTTATTTTTTATTTATGCCAACTTTTCAACCCAAACATGTGGTTGGTTCATCTTCAGGGCGTGGTTTGAGCACCTTGAGTACTTGAACACCCTCAGTGCACAAACCACGCCTAGAAGATGACCTGACCCACATGTTTGGGTTGAAACGTTGCCATAAATAAAAATTTTTTTTTATAAAAAAAGACTGCGTCCTGAATATTTATCAACCAAAAAAATGAAAATTTAAAGATTCTAGATTCAATCTATAGGTGCTTTTAGTATCCTCTCGTTGATTAAGTCATTTTATTTGATTTTTTTCTAACTTTCCATTCTTTATTCATAAGCTATTTACAACATATAAAATGCTAACAATTATTTATATACTTTTGCTGCCCTAAGACAATTTTATTTTCAATTTTCATTTTATTTTATTTTTTTCTTCTGTTCCTTCATTTTTTTTTTTCTTTGAACTAAGATTACTTGTATGTGTAAATAGGAAAACTCATTTTTTAGGGAGCGGGAACCTAAGATATTGCCGAAGAAAGAACAATATTCTAGCCAACTAGAGGAGAGCATCCGATCTCGGTCGACCATATTTTTAAACCTAAATTTTTTAAAAAACAATCCATACAATAATTGCGCAGTAAATATTACGTAAGATAATGTTGGGTAAACTGAAGCTGGATAAATGTAATATTTGACGGGTGTGCCAAAAAATATGTATTTTTATGGATCGAAACAAACAAACACTAGTGCTAATCTGTCAGCATCTCTTCTTGCTTTTGCATCTCCAAAAACATTATTTGTTTAGCTGAAAATCCAAGCTTTAATAAATTTTTTTTTCATATATATTAGGCCTAAAGGAAATAAAGCGAATGAATTTTAATGAGATCTCAAACAATAACTAAGCAAAATCTTCAATGCAATAATTGATTTGAAGAATAGGGGAATTATAGGGATAATGTTTATTATTGATAATTTTTTACAACTATACGATAAACAAAATCGTTAAAAGTATTAAAATATGTATATAACAGCTTTATGTTTAGGAACACGAGCTAGCCTAATTTAGCAATGCTTAATTACAGGGAAATTTCTTGTTTAGTTCGTCTTAAAAACGTTTGCATGTCAAAACAAGATGACCACGTGCTCATTAATCGGTTGATAAATGGATCATTATGAAATTGAAATAAAATTGTCTTTCATATTCCTTCTTATTTATTTTGTTCTCACTAAGAATGGGAGAATGTAAAATATTATTAGTACGATAAAGAGTTACATTACACGAACACCGGATTCAAATTTAATGACTTTTTTAATTAAAGTCTACAAGGCCGTCTCCATTTTACAGCAATCTTTCATGCACTATTCCCTTTCTCATTATACACCGGTTGTAAACTTTCCTGGAAATCGGCTGACCGAAAGTGGCTTTCACAGTTTTGTATTGTAATTATTAATAATAAAAATTGGATAAATATAGGCGATGGATAGAACCTGGTAAGATTGGGCCGAAGAGCCAACGAAGGCAACAAGAGAGGTTACGAGTTCTCCCGTGAGGCATTAAAGAGTATACTGTTATAAAATAAGGTACTTATCTAGCAGCCGGTCGGGACGAAACCTCCCTTGTTATCTAATGTTGGGTCACCTAACTTCCCTTTTTATCTCGTATAAGCTGTTAGTGATTCCATTGTTTATTTTTGTTCCATTTGTGTGATTCTCTTCCAATTATATATGTTATTACATTGTGAGAATTGCCGTCTTCAGAAGAAGAGGCTATCGAATATTTCCAAAACGCCGGGATAATTCCAAACATAAAATTGTGTGAAGAAGCTCATCAAATGAAGTTGGACAGGGAGACGAAATCGAAATGCTTTCGTACCACTTCCTTATTATCAACGTCATTCGTGGCGATGTATATCAAGTTGGCGCTTAAATTAAAGATTTTGAATACACATGAAATCATGTAGATAAAGATTTATTATAGAAAGAATTAACAAATTAATTGGTAGTTATGAATCATGATGAATTTACTCATTATTAGAAATACAGAAACATAAACAACAAAATAAATATTTCTCAGTTTGAAAATAAATATTCGGGAATAAAAATAGTACTATAAAGGTATTATATACTACTGCAAAGCGACAGATTTTAGAAAAATTAACATCTAAAATCAACAGTCATAGAAGGTAATCTACAGTGACGAAGAATGCATAGATTTAATAGAATAATTACCGTTGTGGAAATTTTATTTCAGATTCTTATTTTAATCTTAAAAATTATTGTATATAGGTATATATGATATATGTGTTCTTTTCATTAATTTATTTTTAGGTTATTTTATTCTTATTTATTGTATATATATTGTTTTTCTGTATGATTTATTTTATTTACAGTACATAGAGTGTGAATGTGATCTGTGAACACTATTATAAATGTCCTTGAGACAGATTGTAACATTTTTGAATAAAAAAAAAAATCTTAAAAATAAATTCTAATTCCTGTAAATTTTGATGAATGAATATAAAATATAAAGAAAAAAACAAAAAAAAAATTGAAACAAAAAAAAAATTAAATTCTACATTCATTATGTTCAATTAATAAAATGACGAAGTGCATATTACTTGATAAAATAACATTTCAAAAACCTGTCATTAGTAGGCTTAAATCTATTGTCAAATCTCAATGATTTGAAGATGAGTACCAATTACGAAGTATTAATAAAATAAATCAGATAAAAAATGTTTCAGCCATATTCAAGGTATTTTTGAAAATATAAATTGAAATTTATAGATATTCAGGATCACATATACAGATAGTAAAACTTTTCTCATGCAAAAAAATTGAATTCAGAGCCAAATTAAGAAGCTCCATAGTAGAGACAAAGAGGCAGTGATGGATCATAATAGACTAGGACCTGGTCGGATGCAGTTTACTTTATTGTCTGTAAAAATGGATTCTCATATTTTAGTCCCTCAAGAGAACCACACTCTTTTTTATTAGTCTATATTTGTATAATTTGTTACATAATGTTAGTCATATAAGTTTTTAATGAATTTTCCGAAATAATTTCTAAAACTTAACTGAAGACATTATAGAAGGGTAGGAATGTGTTTTCAAATTAGTTTGATATTAGTGGTTAGTTTGTTGGGGCAAATGGCGAAAGACTTCCTAAAAATTGAATTTGAGCTGTGCTGACTGGTTAGAGTCTGATGAATGGAAGATGGGAGAATTGCGTTAAAGCTATCTTGCGGGTTTGGGTTTGGAAGGCGGTAAGTGGATGGAAGTTGCAGATAGTGATTGGTGGGTGTTATCGGCATCAAATCTTGGGCTTAGTTAAGCTATACTACTACTATAGGACAGTCTTGAAAATTCGAACAGGTAGATTGCATGGCCTGTTTGGATTATAAAAATGTTCGGATTATTAAAGGATAAATTTAAAATTATGACAAAATTGCACAAGGTAACGAAAGTATATGTATTACCAGTTAAATATAAACACATTGAAAA